TGCGTTACTTAAAGTCCTGATATTTGTATTCTCTCATGTTAAATGCAATTTGCTCCTTTATACTTAAAAATTGCTTTTGCTGAATGTTCAATCTTTGGCTAACATTTTCTACCCTTGATTTTCTTAAATACATTACTCCATTTACAACTGGAATTTTGAAAAGAATTGCTTTTGAAAAGTCTGATGATAACCTAATTTTCTTTCATTATAACTTACTTGACTTTTACCTAGGAACCCAATTATATTTTTTTTCTTGGAGTCAATAATTTCAACAGAATATGCCATGATATTGAAAATTATGGGTTTGAATTTTCTCAAGTGTGTATTTTCTCAGTGTTCTCTTTCAATCTATAATTCATTTTTTAAATTAAAGTTTGATAATTTGTTTTGTCTCCTGCTTTGGTTTCTTCTTCAGGGAATCTTATACATGTTGAATCTTCTGTGCCAACTTTCACTATTTGTTACTGTCTCTGGAGTCATTACTAATTTCTACAATTTCATTTTTTATTATTATAAATACTCCTTTGTTCACCTTTTTCCTATTTAAAGTATTTAGAAAATTTATGCTTAGGATCCTTATTTAGAATTCCTTTTTGCAGTGTATATACATGTACATGTATTGGTAATGGATTAGTTTTATTTCCACACAACTCAGGTCTTATAATTGCACTTTTGTGCCTTTTATTATTGTCTTAATAATTTTTGGTCATCTTTCAATTGATGGTTATGATGGTTATTCTGTGGGCATACCTTTTTGAGCATTTGTTTTGTAAGGATATTATTTTGCTTCCTCTTGTCTGTATTTGATAATGACCTTTTCGGAAACTTAATTTTTCAACCTCTTGAAAGGAGACATAGAATAAGGTAGTTTTGATCTTTTATTTTAGATAAACTTTTCTCCACTTTATATTGATAAAATATGCTGATATTTACTGATTTTATTCCAAGCCTGTAACTTTTATGCAGATTCTTTTTCATTTTTCATTTCCTCTAGTGCTCTCAATTTGACTTCACCCCTGGTGATATTTCCTCAATGTGGGATCGTCTGTACAAAAGAAAGCATGGTATCTCAGTTTCAAACATTTATAAAGATTAGACAGTTCCAACTCTCTTGGGCCTTCCACAAGTCCTTGCATCTGCTGGTTATCATGTTAAATAAAACAATTTCAGGTGCTCTATTCTTATTGAAATCCCATAATTGTCACAACACACCTTTGGATTTCTTGAGATTCTCATTTATCCAGATCCATTAGATGCCAACTTTTCTACTCTGTTATATGTCCCACATTTGTGGAATAAATGTAAGTCTTGTTGCTGGTATTGGCTTGTCGTTACGAATTTGTAATATAGAGGTAATGCAAATAATGACTGTTTTTGCTTAATTTTACATTTTATTCAAGGGTTTTTTATTTTTGATGTAATTGTTTTTATGTTGTTTTTCAGAAAGTTGAACGTTTGTGCTATCATTGGTGTCCCCTCACTACATGTGTACAATCTATATTAATATATCTCTATATTGGGCCTCCCCAGTGGTGCAGTGGATTGAGCACAGGGCTGTGAAGCTGTCTGCAGTCTCTGCAGCGGTGGTTCGATTCCTGGCTGGCCAGGGAGTTACCCACATGGCAGGGCAGACCTCTCCTGTCTCGCCTGCTGCTCCCTTCAGCAGTGTACTTCAATCCCTCTGCCTGTTCTGCTCCCTGCTCTGTCTCTGGTGAATCCTCTCACCCTCCTGTGCCTCTAGACTGTACCCCAGTTCTTTTATAAAAATAAATAAATTTTTAAATATATATATATATATAGAGATCTCTATCTATCTATCTATCTATCTATCTATCTATCTATCTATCTACCCTATATCTATCTATCTATTTCTGTATCTTTATCTACTCCCTTAAGGTGAAAATACTACCAATGTCATAACATTAGGAAAGAGAAAGTGTGACCAAAGAAGATTGAATTGGTGAGTGTTTTTGTTTTTTTAAGAATTCCTAATTATAAACAAAGTTGCAGTGAGCAATTCCTGACAAACATAAAGCAATTTCTGACAAAACAACTTAAGATACTGAAACAATTTTACCTCTATCTTAATGATTCTTATTATTGTGGGTTTGGTTATATTTGTGAGTGCCCAAAATTGTTCTCTGGTAATTGAAAGAATTAAAAATTATACCAGATCCCTTCTCACTGGAGTTATAATTTGTTTTTATCTGATTATTTAGTTTGAATATATATTTATATGTTTAAGAGACAGTCTGATGTTTTTATTTGCTGTATATGTGTTCATATATTTTTGCTAACTTTTCTGGTGTTTCTTTTTCTTGATAATACAACTTTAGGAATGCTTTCTATATTTAGAGTAACTGGCAATTGTCTGTGACATAAGTTGCAACTATTTCCCACCATTTATTTCCTGTTGTGAGTTGGCTTATATTTTCCTCCTTGAAAGGTGTTATTTTTTCAATTGTGGTAAACTATAAATAGAAAAATTTGACATTTCAACATTTTAAAATTTACAATCCAGTGTATTAAGTATATTCCATTGTTGTGCAACCACCGATAACATCCATCACTAGAACATTTTTATCTTACAAAGTCCTTTACCCATTTAAAAATAACGATATAAATTTCTTCTTATCTCCTGGCAACCACCATTCTACATCCTGTCTCTGTGACTTAAACTGTTCTACATACTTCATATAAGTAGAAACAAATTCTGTTTATCCTATAAGATTTTGCATATTCGCACCTTATAAAATTAATGATTTGCAAATATTTGCTTCCTTTCCATGTTTTCCTTTTTCACAATGTTGATAGTGTGTTTTAATGTTTGGAATATTTTAGATATGAGTCCAATTTACCTATTTTTTATTGCCTCTGCTTTTGGTGTATATTGGCTTAGGTAAGATGACCATTTTAACAATACACTTTCTTCCAACTTATAAGCACCTAATAACTTTCCTTCTCTCTGTGTCTTCTATTTCTTTTAACAGTGTCTAAGTTTTTGGTGAACAGGTTTTTTACTCCTCTGTTAAGGTTAATCCCAGGTACTTGATCCTTTGTGATGTGCTTATGAATGGGATTGTTTTCTCAATTTCTGTTTCTTCTAATTCAGTGTTTTCATATAGAAAGACAATGAAATTTTAAGTTGATTTTTTTATCCTGCCACTTTACTGTACTTTGTTTCCAGTAGTTATTTAATCGACCTTTAAGAATTTTCTATGTATATTATCATGCCATTAGCAATATAGTGATACTTTTAATTCTTCTTTTCCAAATTGGATTCTTCTTATATATTAGTGGTTCTGGCTAGGAATTCTTTCTAATTTGTTCTGTCCTTGTCTGATTTTAGGATCAGGGTAATTGTAGTATAATACAATGTGTTTGGGGCTCTTTGTCTCCTTTTAGTTTCTGGGAAGAATTTGAGAAAGATACTATTGGAACTTTGAAAGGTTGGTAGAATTCACTAGTAAAGTCATCTGTTCTTGGGCTTTTTTTGGTTGGCATTACTGTTTCATTTTCTGTGGGTTTATTTATTATTTTTCTCTTCAAGTTATCTATTTTGTCCTTGGTAGGTTATCCAATTTTTTACATATAAATATTCATAAGAGTCTCTTATTATGCTTTGCATTTCTGTGGTATTTTTTTGTATCATCACCTCTTTATGATTTTCCTTATTAGCATTTTCTGTCTTTTTTTTTTCCTTATTGGCTCTATCTAAGAATTTATCAATTTTGTCTTTTTTTTCCCTTTCAAGAGTCAGGTCTTTGTTTCACTGATTTTTTTATCAGCTTTTTAAATGTTAATCACATCCACAATTAACCTACCATAAAATAATAATTTCATGGTAATGTCTAAACCAATGTTTGACCAAATAACTGGGCACAATAGCCTAGGCGAAATCACAAAGTTGACACTTTCAGTTAAATTAAAAAAGAGTGTATTACATCGACATACATATCCTGACCTTTCCAACTTAACGCAGTAGGAAAATAAGAGCCAACTAAAACAGAGGAATGAAATGACAAATAATAGTCCAGAAATTATTGAAATAGAACATAAATAATGGAGAAATCAATGAAACCCAAAAGTCAATTCTTTTAAAACTTTAAAACGGTAGAAGGAATATTAGTACCAACCTTACAGACATAAATAAGCTCCATAAATAAATATTGTGAATAGTGGTTTGCTGTAGTCTAGGCAAACGAAATGGGTTCTATTCAAATGATACAAGAATCTTGAAGACAATATGCAAATGAATGAAGCCAGATACAAATGGCTGAATATTATATGATGTATTTATAAGGAAAAGGCAGAAGAGGGAAATCTATAGAGACAGATATGTTAATGGGATTTAGAAGGTAGGTCTGATGAGGATAATAACTAAAGTATACAGGGTTTCTTTTTGAGATAAAGAAAATATTCTGAAATAGACTTGTGATTTTTGTACATTATCCATGAACATATTGAAATCATAGAAATGTACATTATAAATGGGTGAATGTTTACATGTAAAATTCAACTTAATAAATTTGTTAAAAACAATGAAACAAATATAAGGGGGAATAAAATAAAGTGGTTCTGAGTACCTCTAGAACTGTATTATGGGTATCTCACTCCAAGTGAATCTCCTCTGATGCTTATTTTCTCCCTTTAGCAAAGGAAAGGGTATATATATATTTTTTTTTTCTCATACCACAAGCTGAAGCTCAGCTGAGCATAGAAAGAAGTTTTCTGGAAAAGTACACAACTAGACTGCTTCACTTAGTTGTAATTCTTGGCCTTTGCTTCAGGTTCACAGACTTATCATGACTGTCCATAGGTATAGCTCACCTTCCTCTGTCTCTTGTCTCACCAAGCTAGGGGAACTGGTCACTCGGAGACTCCCACCCATTACTGTCCCTCTCATGTCCTCTGAAGGCAATCGTTGCCTTGGTTATATTGTTACATAGGGGGCAGTCATCACTAACATCATCTCAGCAGGCCCTAGGCCAAATGAAAGGAGACAGATATTCATGGATTAAGGATGGGGTGTCCTGTGGGCCTGAGGACAGTCTGCTAGCTTGACCTAGGTGATAACCTGAGAACTTCAGTATCCTGTGGCTTTAAATCTTCCAGAGCTGCCTACTTCACAAAGTGGCAAGTTTTCTTTCTTTTGCTGAAGTTCTAAGAAGTGTGTTGCAGAGATGTTTAATCCATACGTGTTAGATATCCCAGCTGTAATTTTTGACAATGGATCAGGATTCTGCAAAACAGGTTTATCTGGAGAGACTGTACCCCGCCATGTTATCAGCTCTGCTGTGGGTCACCCTAAATTCCAACTGCCTCTATCAGAAATCAGTTACCACTTTTCCATGGGAGAAAGAGACCTGTACAAGGCTTTCCATTTGCACTACCCCATTGAGCGTGGATTGGTAACAGGATGGGATGACATGGAGAAACTCTGGGACTATCTTTTTGAGAAGGAACTGAGGATAAAACCCTATCAACATCCTGTGCTCATGACTGAACCCTCCTTGAACCCAAGAGAGATTAGAGAGAAGATGGTGGAAGTAATGTTTGAGAACTTCAATGTACCTGCCTTCTATCTTTCCAACCATGCAGTGGTAGCACTCTATGCCTCTGCCTCTGTCACTGGCCTTGTTTTGGATAGTGGTTATGGGATCACTTGTACTGTCCCTGTCTATGAGGGATACTCCCTGCCTCATGCTGTCACCAAGCTCTATGTAGCAGGGAACGATATCACAGAGCACCTTACCAGGCTCCTCCTCGTTAGTCAGAATATCTTACCTTGCATACTTGGCAGGACTTTAGTGGAGGACATCAAAGAGAATCTGTGCTATGTAGCCTTGGAGCCAGAGAGAGAGATGCATAAGAAACCAGAGGAGGTACATAAACAGTACAGACTGCCAGATGGGAATGTCATTCACATTGGACACCAGCTACACCAGGTACCTGAGGTTCTTTTTGCTCCAGACAAGCTGGGCTATCCCAACCTAGGACTTTCAAAAATGATCTCTAACAGCATTATGAAGTGTGACACTGACATCCAGAAGAATCTTTTTGCAGAAATTGTACTCTCTGGGGGCACCACTCTCTTTCCTGGGCTTGAGGAAAGACTCATGAAAGAGTTGGAACAGATGGCTTCAAGAGGAACACCCATCAAGATCACGGCTTCTCCTAATAGAAGTTTCTCTTCATGGATAGGTGCATCCATGGTGACCTCTCTTAGCAGTTTTAAGCAAATGTGGATCACTTCTGTAGACTTCAAGGAATTTGGGACATATGTTGTTCAAAGAAAATGTTTTTAAAAAATCCAGCACAGAAGGGACAACTTGAAGTGTCAACTCACAGCAGCAGCGGTGGAAGGTGACATCTTCCCTTGGGCTTCAGTGTAGTGTTTGATAAAAGTGATATGACAATTTTGGTTTCATTTCATTCTTGGTGCCAACAGAGTGATTTCTGATCCAGGTAGTGAATCTTATTAACTGTTCCTATTCCATCTTTTCTGTTCCATTTCCCTCTTGATGGTTTTCTCCTGAAAAGTGCTTGGTTTATGTATTGTGGATGAGTCCACTTATAAGGTTTGTAGTAAAAGCAGGCACCTGAGCCTCATGCCCAGAACTTAACTCAGTGGAGTCTTTGAATTCTTCATTTTAAACAAAAAGTGTCTTAGATATTTTTTGGAAGATGTAGTGCTGAGGAGAGACAGAATCACCAGAGAAAAATGTGGAGGGAGGGGAAATTAAGTAGAACAAAGACAGCTACCCTGCTCTTACTATTCATCAGGCCCTTTCACTCACACGGTCCGCAGCATGGTCTGGGACACTGCTATTATGACACCAGACAGCTAAGTAAGATGGAGCTGATGTCCCTAGCAAAGAGGAAAAATGGGCCTAAAATTAGAGTTTAAGGCTCTCTAAACTCAGGACCCTTACTCTCTGTTGGAGTATTAAGAATCAACACTTCTACTTAGTGTGTGTGAGTGTGTGTGTGTGTGTTTCTTGTTATTACTTTCAAGGATATTTATAACTTCATATTCTTTAATTTTTTAAAGATTTAGTTTTGTTTACTTATGTATATAAGAGCTGGGTTGTAGTCCCAGACATGCAGGGGTATGGGGTGACTTGTGAGAGGATTCACCAGAGAGAGTGGGGAGCAGAACAGGCAGGTCTATTGAAATACACTGCTGAGGGGAGCAGCAGGCATGACAGGAGTGGTCTGCTGCACAATGTGGGTTAGCTCCCTGGCTGAGGATTGAATTTGTGCCACAGTGGCTGGTGATAGCTTGGTAATGCTGAGACTTAACCCCTTGTACCATCAGGGAGGCCCAAACTTCATATTCTTAAGAATAAAATTCTGGAACCTTTTAATGATCATCAACAAAGAAAATGTAAAATAAATTATGTGTAAATGAATTTTTCTTATTTGGTATTATTTTCACAATATATTTTTGGGAGAGAAATGAAAAATAAAGAAAATTGTGTTATACTATATTTCTTTGGTAAGAAAACAGTGGAATATCCCCATATATATGTATAGCTGTGCGTATTTGTATGTACCCATATAAATGTCTGAATTACAATATGTTTTATGTAATTAAAAACACTTGGAGAAAAGTACAGAAGGATATATACCATGGTGGTTACACATGGTGGTGGAGAAGAATGGATTGAGAGGGAATACAGTTGTAAAGAAAAATAAGAAGGGGAACAAATAGGAAAGAAGGGGGGATAATGAAAAAATTCAGCCAGAATTAAATGAAAACATTATTTTAAAATATCCAATTTTCTCATATCTCCCCAACTCCATGTTCAGGAGTGTCACATTGCTAAATTAAATACAGCTATGAAAATTTTCAAACATGATACAGAACTATCAATTGGGTCTTTTAATTTTCTTTCAATATTTTATTTATACAAGAACTGGGGTACAAGCCAGATGTGTGGGAGGGTGAGAGGACTCACCAGAGACAGAGCTGGGAATAGAACAGGCAGACTGACTGAAACACACTGCAGAGGGGAGCAGCGGGCGAGATAGGAGAGGTCTACTGCGCCATGTGAGTATCTCCACGGCTGGCCGGGAATGAACCTGCACTGCAGAGGCTGTGGAAAGCCTCACAGTGCTGTGCTCAATTGCCTGCACCAACAGGGAGGCCCAGGTCTTTTAATTTTTGTATTTATTTGATAGATCTTGTTAAGTGGCTGGTATAAGGAGAGGACCCAAATTTCTAGGAGTGCATCTTTGAAATAATGCAAAGGTTGTTCATTGTAGTACAATTTCCCATTAAAATATGGTATAAGTCCAGTTTGTTCACTTTCACCACTATTATTCAACATAGTACTGGAAGTCCTAGATAGAGCAATTAAGTAACAAAAGAATATAAATGGAATCATAATTGGGAAAAATGTAGTAAAGCTGTTCTTATTCTCAGACGATATGATGATATACATAGAGAAACCTAAAGAGTCTGCTGAAAAATTAATTGAAATAATAAATCAGTTCAGCAAAGTGGTAGGTTATAAAATCAATACACAAAATTCAATTGTCTTCCTTTATACAAACAATGAATTTGAAGAGGAAGAAATTTTAATATTTATCCCAGTCACAATTATACCCCTCACCACACACACAAAATTAAATAGCTAGTATTTATCCTAACAAAGTATGAGAAGAACCTACAAAATGTAAACCATAGGGCAGTATTAAAAGAAATAGAATGCACAAATAATGGGAAAGATATTCACTCTCATGGATTGCAAGAATCTATATTGTCAAATTTGCCATCCTCCCAAAGCAATATAAAGATTCAATGTGCTCTCCATCAAAATTTCTTTAAATTTTGGCTTTCTTCAATGAAATGGAATAAATATTATTGAAGTTCATGTGGAACCATATAAGACCCCAAATAGCTATAGTAATCTTGACAGGAAAGTAGAATGGTGACATCAAACATGCAAACCTCAGACTATACTACAAAACAATAATAATTAAAACAATGTGGTAGTGGAACAAAAACAGACACAGACATACAGACCAATGGGATAGAATGGCCCACCCATATGTAAGCCCACACCTATATGGACAGTTAACCTACCACAAAGGAGCCAAAAATATATACTGGAGCAAGGAAAGCCTCTTCATTATGTGATATTGGGAGAACAATATGTAAAAGAATGAAACTATATCACTATCTCATACCATACACAAAAATCAACTCAAAATGGATAAAATATTTGGATGTAAAACCTAAAACCATAAAATACATAGAACAAAACACTTCACATGTATGCTTTAGGGATATCCTTGTGAATTTGTCTTTAGCACCAAGAAAAACAATGGAGAATATAAACAATTGGAACTACATCAAATTAAAAAGCTTTTACACAGCTAAAGAAATTTATAAGCAAAACAAAAAGACACCTCAGTGAATGGAGAAAATATGTGCACACCATACATCTGACAAGGGGCTCACTGCAGTGGTAAGTATATTGTGGTAGCATATGAAGAATTATTATTTAATTGTAAATTATTATTTAATTATAAATTACCAATTAAAAATAGGTAGAAGAAATAAATGGGCACTTCTTTAAGGAAGACATGCAATACATGCACATTAAAAATGTTTATCATCATTTATGATCAGAGAAATGCAAATTGAAACAACGATATCATCTCACAAAAAAAATAAGTGCTGGAGATAGCGTGGAGAAAACAGAACCAGCCTTCATTGTTGGTGAGAATATAGACTGGTCCAACCCCTATAATATGAAGGTTTCTCAGAAAATTACAAGTGGATCTGTCATATACGAAGAATAAGAAAAGACAAAGTCTATTTTGAAAGGAAACTTGCACTGCCATTTTCATTGCAGCACTATTTACAATATCCAAGATATGGAAACAACCTATAGCCCCAAACAGATTAATGGATCAAAAGATGTGATATACACACACATATACACACACACACACCGGAATATTACTCAGTTATCAAAAAAGACAAAACTCTTACAATTCATGGCAACATGGATGGAACTGGAAGGGAGTATTCTGGGCTAAATTAGTGAAGAGGTGAAAGACCTGTATCAGATGGTGTCGCTTGTATGTGGCATATAGTACACCAATTCAAATGGTCAGATCAAGCTAACTGAAAAAACTAACCCTTGAAAGCTGACTATAGAATAGAGGCAACCTGGGGGAGGTGGGGGAGAATGTAGGAGAGGGATGAGAACAATGAGGGGAGAAAGTACAAGGGTCTATGATGGTGGACTATGGCTGCTTTGGTGGTAGATGTGTTAGGGGGAAAAGGATGTTCGAAAGCTAATGCCACACAGGCCTTGTGGACTCCACCCCCACTCCAGACCAAAGCCAAAAGACATTGGGAGAGACAAATCCCATCACCAGCAAAGGAAAGATTGCTGGAAACTGAGGGAGGGATTAAGCAGCCAGGTTTGTATAAAACCAGACACGTGGGCTTTGGGGGATTCCCTTTTTGGCTGTCCACCAGCTTGCAGCGCTGGGCCAGCTCTGAGTGTGCCTTTGGGTTTCCAGGTCAGTGGATCGAGTAGGACGCATTAAAGACTTTGTTTCCCTATTTTTTCCCTGAGTTGTACATTTCCTCAATTCCTTTTCCCTTGTACATAAACCTTTTATTAACCTTTTGTGTGTGCCTGTAGTGGAGTATTAATAAGTCCCTTTTAAGTGTGCAGGTGAGGACACACAGCCAGGCAACCCGTTTTATATTGGGGCTGCTCCGTAACAGATGCACTATGGCAACATCTAAATGAGAGGATCCTAAATTTTTAAATGCAAGCAATGTAAGCCAATGTTAACTCAATAAAAAATATTATAAAGGAAAGAAATATTATTAAAGAAAAAAACATTAACAGAAAGAAAGGGAGGTAGGGAGGGTTGTGAGAAGGAAGGAAGGAAGTCTTGCCATTTGCAACAATATGAATTACATGAGTGGATTATGAAAAATGGAAATGTCAGAAGGTGCAAGACAAATACCAGAGGATTTCACTCATGTGGAATATATAAAAAAATCAAAAGAAAAGAAAAAGCTCAATCAAACATGTAGAAATATGACTGTCAAACTGACAATACCAGAGGTGGAGTGTGGAGTTGGGGAGGAATCAGAGCGAAAAGGACCCAGTTGACTGTGAGGGAGAATTCTGGGTGCTTTAGTGGTAAGCATGGTGTGGTAAGATACAGAGAAGTACCAACCGATACTCCTAAATCATAAACAGTGTTTTCAAGCAATGTTACCTCAATAAAAATGATACAGTTAAAAAGAAAGATACATAAAATATTTTTTCCCTCCGAATGGTTATATGCCAGCTAAAGCTTTAAAATAAGGGAAAAGGGACGTGCGTGTACCATAAATGGAGTGATGGAGAATATAAGTTTTGGAG